GACATCTGACATTTTAAGTGTCATGGCGACTGTGATGTTTCCCCCCGAAAATAATGTACACACAATACTTATGTGTTTTTATAAATCAGTAGAATTCATAGTAAATAGAAAATATGTATAATATTACACTGATATGTAAATATTGTTGTATTCAGCCATTATTCTTTTATGTACCTATGTAAAATATTACTACTACTAAATGACTCTGTCATACGTCGTTACTTTGCCAATTGCGCTTGACTGTTAAAAATAACAAATGTGTACTATAAATAAATTAAAGCTATAATTTTATTTGCGCGAATATTCTGTTTGCGATAAAACATCTTTATAACTCATTCAGTCTGTGACAGTATGATTTGTGTAATTCAATATTATTTCAACAGAGGGCAGGATTAGAGCAAAAGGATTTTGACAATTGTGAAATTATCGTCCTAATACTGAAAGGCTACTCGATTTTAAGTTGTACTTAAATATCGTGCTTTTTTGTCGCGGAGAACCTAACGGGTAACCGGGGCTTCGGCTCGGCGTGCAGGAGAAGGAACGGGGTGGTTTTTAGTCAGTAAGAATCTGACACTCCCTCGCACCTCACCCAGGCGGGAGCAGTAATTCGATGATTTTCCCCCCTTTTAAAAAATATCCCCGTCATTTTACAAAAAAATTGTAGTGACAACTATAGTTAACCGCGACTTAAAATTGAGTAGCGTTTGAGTATTTCAGCATATGACATGTCTTTAATTACAAATAATGACTAAAAATTATGTGAGACATGACTTTTGAACTTTTACATCAACTTCATTTGACTAAAATTTTGGAAATTATTGTGAAAGTGCGCTTGGTAACATGATTGAGTACAAAATAATTTGTTTTTTTTTTCTATTGAACTTTTGTTTTGTTTTGTTGTTGACTGAGACTTAATAAGGTGATAGACTGATGAATGATCAAGATTATTTGGGAACTTTTGATTATTTAAATATTTCAATTTAATGATGAGAGGGCAGAAATTTTGCAAATTAAGTGTTTTTTTTACTATGGCGTGTTTTACGTACTTAATTTTGTTTAAGTTTAGGTACCTAAGCGGCCACGAAAGTTAAGCTAAAAATAAAATTATGAAAAGCCACTAAAATATCACTTTAAAAATACTCTTACTACCTATTAATATTATCTGGTACAGTCAAGCACTCAAATCAGTAGTACTAATAAAATTATTATTAAATTGAAAGTTATATTCTTGTGGTCGACTGCACCTACGCGTTCGGCGCTCTGATTGGCCGGCGCCAATATACCAACCAATCAGAGCGCCGAACGCCTACTCGTTTCGAATACTTTAAACGTAAATCAAACTTGTACTAAGGCCTCTGATCAGATTTTTGACTAGACCTGACACGACAAAGTGAAGCGACTTATTAAAGTCTTTGGTGTTCTTTTAAAATATTATAATACCTACCTATGTACATTTTACCTACGTTTATCAGGACAATCTTAGGTTTAATTTCCGCCTTTCTTAAATAATCTTCTTAAATATACTATTACACTACTAGCACACAACTTAACCATAACTCTTTTCATATTTAATTGTACAGTTTTTTCCGTAGTAATCTTAAATATCTAGCCACTTTGAGTTCTCGTACAAACATTTCTCAATAATATCTTTAATATTTATTATATAATTATCTTTATTTATATGCATAGTTAATATGTGATTATAAACAATATCGTTAGCATAGTTTTATGATATGATACAAAAAAAATCAATGAAAATGGAGGGAAAGCTGAAAGTAAGTGTAACTGCAATGCAGTGTGACAATGCATGAAAAACCGTATAATAATTGTGTCATCTCTGTGATGGCTTACCAGGAGATCGTTTACACAATGGCGGATATTTGACCCAAGTTTTCAAACCTTGTGAGCACCACGGTCAGTCATAGACAACAAATAAAACCTGCCAAAATTGGGCCAATCTGCCACTGTCGGTCACAGCTAAGAAAACCATTTTATTTTTAATTAATTTTGTTTGTAGTCTATAGCTAACAGGCGTTCAAAAGGTTAAAAACAAAAAAGTCCTAACCATTGTGTAATCTAACTCCATCTTGCACACTGCTTCCCGCGACAACGCGGGCCTTAAACATTAACTTATTATTATAGTACATTAAATATTTATGACTTTATTGTAAATAAGAAATAATATTGTACTTAATTTTATAGTTCTCAAGGATCGATGACGTCACTTCTTCCATTTAAACTTTAATTATATTAAACACTTTTTGTCTAAAGAGGTTTGAAATATTGTTCTTCACGATTGTCAGTTCCATGTTGGATTTTCATTATTTTTGTCTTAGATGTCGCTAGTGTGCCGAGTAAATTTAAAGTTTTGTGTAATAGGGCATCGAAGACCTTGGTCTTTTTTGTAACAAGACGTTTCTATAACTGGTAACAAATGTAAACGTGACGTGCCCTACTCAAATTGAGACGATTCTTGAATGAAAATTCTACAAGAAAATCATACTCGTACCTCATCTAGATGTATGTATTTTTTTAATCTGATATTAGACTACATCGATCCTTCGTAGCTTGTTGTAGCAAGCTAGTAAAAGCATTTGTAGAATTAATCAGAAATTGTCAGTAGGTGATTAGATGTGATAGGTAATTCGCTATTGTGTACTTGCAATACAATACAATGCGTTGTATATAAAAGTAACTCTAATTACTAACTTGGAAGTGACTGAAAATGGTAGAAAATATAAGTTAGTAAGGGACTTTCATTCCTGCTTGCGGCCAGGCAAGTTGACGGAATGCCCGCTTTAGTATAGTCCACATTAACGTAGCGTGAGGATTAACTTATAGAGTTACAATTCTTAGTTTCATGGCATCTATGTACATAATTTTAAATTTGGAATCTATTGTGTTGCAAGTGCAAAATAACCCTAATGTATCTCATTAAGTTGATGTAAAATGACTTGTCTACGATATTGAAAAGACTTTCATTTTTATTATTTACTTTTTTATTGTCTATGGTAGGTGCAAATATAGCGTAGGAGTTTGGTAGTGATATTGGCTGGTCAAAAGATTGAATACACAAATAAAGTATACAATATTTGCATTTACCATTTAAAAGATAAAATCGGCACTGTAAATAAAAAAAAAGAATTTTATTTTTTGTTATTGATTGTACTTCTTTATTTTTGTGTTGAGACGAGACGACGTATTTCCGTTAATATAATTATAAACAAATAATAAAGATTTTTCTGATAAATCTTACAAGTTGTTTTATTTTTGGTGTAAAAAAGATTTTTTGCTGGACAAAGTACCTACCTACAAATCCCTCTATATCAAATTTTCAGTTAAAGTCAATTTACACATATCGAAAAGTAAGTCTGAAATATCAGCATAGTGAATTCACCTTCAGTCTTAGAGTAAAATGTCACTGAAACTTCGTGAGATGGGCACTGTATGGGTAAAACCTGTCAGTGGGATTGTTTATATTTTGAAACCATGTAAATAAATTCATTTAGCAATAAAATATATAACCCAAGTAAAGTACTGAATCGATTCTGATGACGTTTGTGCTCAGCTGATGAGGTACAGCCGTAGAATACATCTTGGCAAAGACTTATTCAAAATCCCACTTTCTACCAGAAGTTATTATTTTACGCGGACGAAATCGCGGGGAATAGCTAGTTTGTTTATATTATAACTTCCGTGAGACATACTAAATTAATTATTATGTTTTCGGCTTACGTAACTACGAGCCTATAGCATGGCTTGAAACTAGTAGAGTTCCTTATCAAATAGTCACGTGAGTATGCTAAAAGTTATAATTAACTAGCAGTCCGTCCCGGCTTCGCACGGAGTAGACAATTATTTATTTTTGGAAATTTGTATTGTTGTAGTGACATAACTACAATAGTTGGACATATGCTACCGCGGAGTTCTTTGTAGACATTATGATGTTCTTCAATATTGTTGTACATTATTTTGTTCTATCGCTAATAGTTTCGGCAGCGCATTCAACGAAGGACATTTTAAGACTCATTTTTCTACACCTTCGGTTACATTGTTCAAATTTTACAAAGGATCCCTAAATTTTTCAAAATGAAATGTACCCTATGTCAAATTGGAAGAAGCACTCGTGCTCAGCACTGCCCGCGTGGCAGCACTGGCAGGGTCGCCATGCAATGTGGAGCAATGAGGGAGACGTGTTGTTCTTCGGAATAACTTTAATTGAGTGTCTAATAACTAACTTACACTACTTACTTATAGGGCGAGGTGTCACACACACTACAAAATTAAGAGCTCCGTATCGGTAATCAAAAAATTGTTGTTCCGGGTCTGGGTGTCATATGTATGTGAACTTGTATGTTTGTAAACGCACCCACGACACAGGAGAAAATACTAGTGTGAGGCAACATTTTTATAGAACGCAAAAAATTGCGTGTTACAATCATTCATTGTGTTGTCTCGGAAAATGCCATTACAACTATTAACTCGCATGTTTCTTACGAATAATGAGAAATGTGTGAACTTTAAAGAAGCCGTGACCTTTGGATTTGGTGCGGTGTTGCTGTCTCGGAGATTTTTGCCGGGTATAATCAATTATTATTTACATGTACGATTGGGACTGAATTTTGAATCAGTAAACAGCAGACTATTTGACGGAGGCTCTTTGACAAGGGAAAATCATCCAATGACTTTTCCCGCCCAAGTGAGGCGAGAGGGAGTGTCAGACCACCACCACGTTCCTACTCCTGCACTTCGACCCGGAGCCCCGGCAACCCGTTAAGTCCTCGGCGGCTCCATATCGACATCAGCCCTATTGCTGTGGTGTGGTAGTCTGATGGCTCTTTGAGAACGGAACGCGTCGCGCCCGCGTCGTGCGCTGACCTGGTTCTGGTCGGGCGGCGAGATACCACGGGTATCGCCGTCATTGGAGGAAGCTGAAGGCCCATAATCCAACAATGAACTGTCGCATCAATTTAATGATTCAGTACTTATACAAACTTAGCATTGTTTCTTTGGTTACAGGATGACTTTCTGTTGCGGCACTATGATAAAGGACCGTGCAAGAACAAATTGGGGCACTCACGCGCATCTGTACTATGGCACCGTGCACAGGTATGTACCAGTGTACCTCAACAATTATTTTGTGATGATAAAGAGACCTTTATAATCATTGGTTAAGTTTTTACAAGTTCCAGGTACGAGTCTACTAACGGATATTTATCTCAATGGCAACTATTACCATTCTATGCAAAAGCACCTTAACTCATGCAGTTGTGTTTGGTTTTCCAGGTGGTAGGAATATTTGCAGGCTTCGGACTATTGCTGTTGGTGGCCAGCCCGCTCCTCTTGTTGGCAGCGCCATGCATCGTCTGTTGCAAGTGCAGGTAAATATACTGTCTAAAATATTCTATTCACTTTTGAAGCCGATTTGCTTTCAGGTGATGATTATGCAGTCCTGAATGATATTTAAATTTTAGTCTGAGGTTTCTTTCTCTGTATTGTTGTACGCCCTGAATGAGAAGTCAGGTATTGACTAGTCAGTGTTCTTGGGTTCGATTCTCAAATCTGGAATCTGACCTGATTCCAGATTATACCATAGGAAATCTACCCTTTTCGAGGAAAAGCGTTTCGTTTTTTTTGTCATTAACATCCAAATCTCCACATTCCAGGCTCTGCAACCCCAGCACGAAGAATCTCGAGGAGGTAGACGAGATAGACAGCATAAGTCCCACCCGGGATGACGACCGGGACCAACAGCCGGACCGATACCTATCCGACTGACGCCGGCGACGCGACCGTAGGTACTAAACTATCACAACCTGACATACTGGCGATATGTACTTCAAAAATCCAGTACTTACACTGTACCTAGGTCCTAGGTACTCAAAAGTGAAAATGAACACTAAATACAGACTACAAAAGAACTATTTTTCTCCACGTGTTAAAAGTAATAGTTTTAAACCAGATTCAAATGTTTTTGACGTATCTTTTCCGTATTTATTGATGTTTATTATTATAATAGTATAGTTGAAGTGCAAGTTTTAGCTTCAATTCTCATTCAAAATGTTATATTTATCTGTAATATGTGTCTATAATTGTGACAGATTGTCGTATAGCATAACTCTTGAGTATAAGTGAATTTAAAAATAACGGATGATCGTTGGAGATTTGTGATATAAAGTGAACTTCGCCTCTACTAGAAAAAGGGATATTTTAGATCTAAATGTAAGAAAGAACGTTCGCCTCTTTGTGGTTAAATTAATGTAAATTAATTAACTGTACTATATCTATTTAATATCTCGTATATTTGACACGCTAATGAATAAAATATTGCTATTTTGTTTCATTGGGGAAACTACGTTGTTCTTACAAATCTTTAAAACTGCACTAAAAATGCCTTATGCTCATTTGACTTCGCAGAGGATTTGAAAAGCTGTATCTTTTGCCTTTTTGAGACTCTCGACCCGTTTTTGACGTAAAAATGACATCTGACATTTTAAGTGTCATGGCGACTGTGATGTTTCCCCCCGAAAATAATGTACACACAATACTTATGTGTTTTTATAAATCAGTAGAATTCATAGTAAATAGAAAATATGTATAATATTACACTGATATGTAAATATTGTTGTATTCAGCCATTATTCTTTTATGTACCTATGTAAAATATTACTACTACTAAATGACTCTGTCATACGTCGTTACTTTGCCAATTGCGCTTGACTGTTAAAAATAACAAATGTGTACTATAAATAAATTAAAGCTATAATTTTATTTGCGCGAATATTCTGTTTGCGATAAAACATCTTTATAACTCATTCAGTCTGTGACAGTATGATTTGTGTAATTCAATATTATTTCAACAGAGGGCAGGATTAGAGCAAAAGGATTTTGACAATTGTGAAATTATCGTCCTAATACTGAAAGGCTACTCGATTTTAAGTTGTACTTAAATATCGTGCTTTTTTGTCGCGGAGAACCTAACGGGTAACCGGGGCTTCGGCTCGGCGTGCAGGAGAAGGAACGGGGTGGTTTTTAGTCAGTAAGAATCTGACACTCCCTCGCACCTCACCCAGGCGGGAGCAGTAATTCGATGATTTTCCCCCCTTTTAAAAAATATCCCCGTCATTTTACAAAAAAATTGTAGTGACAACTATAGTTAACCGCGACTTAAAATTGAGTAGCGTTTGAGTATTTCAGCATATGACATGTCTTTAATTACAAATAATGACTAAAAATTATGTGAGACATGACTTTTGAACTTTTACATCAACTTCATTTGACTAAAATTTTGGAAATTATTGTGAAAGTGCGCTTGGTAACATGATTGAGTACAAAATAATTTGTTTTTTTTTTCTATTGAACTTTTGTTTTGTTTTGTTGTTGACTGAGACTTAATAAGGTGATAGACTGATGAATGATCAAGATTATTTGGGAACTTTTGATTATTTAAATATTTCAATTTAATGATGAGAGGGCAGAAATTTTGCAAATTAAGTGTTTTTTTTACTATGGCGTGTTTTACGTACTTAATTTTGTTTAAGTTTAGGTACCTAAGCGGCCACGAAAGTTAAGCTAAAAATAAAATTATGAAAAGCCACTAAAATATCACTTTAAAAATACTCTTACTACCTATTAATATTATCTGGTACAGTCAAGCACTCAAATCAGTAGTACTAATAAAATTATTATTAAATTGAAAGTTATATTCTTGTGGTCGACTGCACCTACGCGTTCGGCGCTCTGATTGGCCGGCGCCAATATACCAACCAATCAGAGCGCCGAACGCCTACTCGTTTCGAATACTTTAAACGTAAATCAAACTTGTACTAAGGCCTCTGATCAGATTTTTGACTAGACCTGACACGACAAAGTGAAGCGACTTATTAAAGTCTTTGGTGTTCTTTTAAAATATTATAATACCTACCTATGTACATTTTACCTACGTTTATCAGGACAATCTTAGGTTTAATTTCCGCCTTTCTTAAATAATCTTCTTAAATATACTATTACACTACTAGCACACAACTTAACCATAACTCTTTTCATATTTAATTGTACAGTTTTTTCCGTAGTAATCTTAAATATCTAGCCACTTTGAGTTCTCGTACAAACATTTCTCAATAATATCTTTAATATTTATTATATAATTATCTTTATTTATATGCATAGTTAATATGTGATTATAAACAATATCGTTAGCATAGTTTTATGATATGATACAAAAAAAATCAATGAAAATGGAGGGAAAGCTGAAAGTAAGTGTAACTGCAATGCAGTGTGACAATGCATGAAAAACCGTATAATAATTGTGTCATCTCTGTGATGGCTTACCAGGAGATCGTTTACACAATGGCGGATATTTGACCCAAGTTTTCAAACCTTGTGAGCACCACGGTCAGTCATAGACAACAAATAAAACCTGCCAAAATTGGGCCAATCTGCCACTGTCGGTCACAGCTAAGAAAACCATTTTATTTTTAATTAATTTTGTTTGTAGTCTATAGCTAACAGGCGTTCAAAAGGTTAAAAACAAAAAAGTCCTAACCATTGTGTAATCTAACTCCATCTTGCACACTGCTTCCCGCGACAACGCGGGCCTTAAACATTAACTTATTATTATAGTACATTAAATATTTATGACTTTATTGTAAATAAGAAATAATATTGTACTTAATTTTATAGTTCTCAAGGATCGATGACGTCACTTCTTCCATTTAAACTTTAATTATATTAAACACTTTTTGTCTAAAGAGGTTTGAAATATTGTTCTTCACGATTGTCAGTTCCATGTTGGATTTTCATTATTTTTGTCTTAGATGTCGCTAGTGTGCCGAGTAAATTTAAAGTTTTGTGTAATAGGGCATCGAAGACCTTGGTCTTTTTTGTAACAAGACGTTTCTATAACTGGTAACAAATGTAAACGTGACGTGCCCTACTCAAATTGAGACGATTCTTGAATGAAAATTCTACAAGAAAATCATACTCGTACCTCATCTAGATGTATGTATTTTTTTAATCTGATATTAGACTACATCGATCCTTCGTAGCTTGTTGTAGCAAGCTAGTAAAAGCATTTGTAGAATTAATCAGAAATTGTCAGTAGGTGATTAGATGTGATAGGTAATTCGCTATTGTGTACTTGCAATACAATACAATGCGTTGTATATAAAAGTAACTCTAATTACTAACTTGGAAGTGACTGAAAATGGTAGAAAATATAAGTTAGTAAGGGACTTTCATTCCTGCTTGCGGCCAGGCAAGTTGACGGAATGCCCGCTTTAGTATAGTCCACATTAACGTAGCGTGAGGATTAACTTATAGAGTTACAATTCTTAGTTTCATGGCATCTATGTACATAATTTTAAATTTGGAATCTATTGTGTTGCAAGTGCAAAATAACCCTAATGTATCTCATTAAGTTGATGTAAAATGACTTGTCTACGATATTGAAAAGACTTTCATTTTTATTATTTACTTTTTTATTGTCTATGGTAGGTGCAAATATAGCGTAGGAGTTTGGTAGTGATATTGGCTGGTCAAAAGATTGAATACACAAATAAAGTATACAATATTTGCATTTACCATTTAAAAGATAAAATCGGCACTGTAAATAAAAAAAAAGAATTTTATTTTTTGTTATTGATTGTACTTCTTTATTTTTGTGTTGAGACGAGACGACGTATTTCCGTTAATATAATTATAAACAAATAATAAAGATTTTTCTGATAAATCTTACAAGTTGTTTTATTTTTGGTGTAAAAAAGATTTTTTGCTGGACAAAGTACCTACCTACAAATCCCTCTATATCAAATTTTCAGTTAAAGTCAATTTACACATATCGAAAAGTAAGTCTGAAATATCAGCATAGTGAATTCACCTTCAGTCTTAGAGTAAAATGTCACTGAAACTTCGTGAGATGGGCACTGTATGGGTAAAACCTGTCAGTGGGATTGTTTATATTTTGAAACCATGTAAATAAATTCATTTAGCAATAAAATATATAACCCAAGTAAAGTACTGAATCGATTCTGATGACGTTTGTGCTCAGCTGATGAGGTACAGCCGTAGAATACATCTTGGCAAAGACTTATTCAAAATCCCACTTTCTACCAGAAGTTATTATTTTACGCGGACGAAATCGCGGGGAATAGCTAGTTTGTTTATATTATAACTTCCGTGAGACATACTAAATTAATTATTATGTTTTCGGCTTACGTAACTACGAGCCTATAGCATGGCTTGAAACTAGTAGAGTTCCTTATCAAATAGTCACGTGAGTATGCTAAAAGTTATAATTAACTAGCAGTCCGTCCCGGCTTCGCACGGAGTAGACAATTATTTATTTTTGGAAATTTGTATTGTTGTAGTGACATAACTACAATAGTTGGACATATGCTACCGCGGAGTTCTTTGTAGACATTATGATGTTCTTCAATATTGTTGTACATTATTTTGTTCTATCGCTAATAGTTTCGGCAGCGCATTCAACGAAGGACATTTTAAGACTCATTTTTCTACACCTTCGGTTACATTGTTCAAATTTTACAAAGGATCCCTAAATTTTTCAAAATGAAATGTACCCTATGTCAAATTGGAAGAATGTAGCATTCTATTGGTGAAAGAATTTTTTAAATTGGCCCATTACTTTTGAGCCTATTCATTACAAACATACAAAAATAGGTACAAATCTTTCCTCTTTATAATATTTGTATATATGTATAGATATACATTGGTTAAAATAAGAACAAAATTCATGATACATTAAAAACTATATTTACATTTTACAATAAATACAAAAAAGAAATTGGGTACTAGCTAACTAGTCAAATTCAATACTTTTTTCGAAACTGTCAAAAACTACAGTCAAAGAATATAGTAAGTATAGGGGAAAACGACAGTTTTCTATGAATTTTGTATGAGATTGTGTATTGTGACGTCACATTTTTTTAATGTCAAACAGCATACTAACTTTTTTTAATTTGCTAGAAAAATACTAAATTTAAATTAGTCATAAAATCAATTGATGAAAGTGTGGATATTTTTTAATATATTATTGTATTGAACAGTCAAAATAATTTATTTTTGATGTAGTCAAGTACCCAATTATAACATTATAGACTAGGATCTTCACCATTTCCTCAATAACCCCGCAGTCGAGTCAAAAAGCAGGGGGTTTTTGAACTCTCCTCTCATGTCAAGCATATAATGCATCCATCTATTTTTAATTTTCAAAGGTAATTGTACTTTTGCAATATTCCTTGACTCTTTGCAACAGATATTTTCTATAGGAACGGTCATCATCCTGTTTTTTCCAAAAGGTGTGTATGTGACAAAAGTTAAATGCTTTCCACCTTTGTTTAGTATTAGATAACGAACTGAACGAAGAGTGTACATCCAGATCATGAACAGAGATCCGACTCCTGCAAAAAAATATTGTCTTATTATTGAATAAGTTGAATATCATTGTGTTGACAGAGAGAGCAGATGAAAGGAAATTGATGATTATTTTTAGCTAAAATTGTGAGTGAGTGAGAAATTTAAGAAAGAGAATAACTCGTTATTGAGGCAATGTTAACATTCTAATTAGAAAACAGCATCTGGCAGTACATCATTATACCAATATCAAAAACCTATTCTCTCTATTGCAACATGGACTCACCAACAACTACAGAGACGGTACCGAGAGTATTCCTGTACTTATTCTCCCCAAGATTTATCCTTCTGAACCAAGGCGTATCATCAGTTATAGTAGATTTGTCGACCGGCGCGTCGCGCAGTGTTGAGAATGAAAACATACCCAAATACATCCAAAACATATACTGCACTACTGCAAATATATTCATGTACATGAAAAATTTTGGATTCTCATATTTAAACAGAATAACATCTTTAATAACTTTTGTATTCACGTCGTGAATTGTTTTGGTTGTTACACTGCTGTAAGTTGCAGTTTTTGTATTATTTATGCAAGTTTTATATTTAGTAAA